GATGACACGAGATACTGGACAATGCAGTCACCTTGTAAGACGACTTGAACCAGATGTTCACGTTGATGACTTGAACCAGATGTTGATATTGGCTTGACATGAGATACTAAACATAGTGTAGTCACTATACAAGATGTACTTAAAAGGTCATGTGAAGATCCGGGACAGAATAGATCTTGAACAACCCATGCTTGCCGTAAATGCGACTATGCTTGTCGTAAGTGGCGACTAACGGCATCGGGTGGTCAGGCTTGGAGACATGGTTGATGTATATCATCGTACCTCAATTGTGTGGATCAATGCTCATGATATGAATCATTGGATTGTCTGGTCCTGACTCGATTATTTACAGACCACCCTCATATAGCTGGAATATTGCTGAGTGTGGCGTTAAACAACAAACAAACAAACCAACACTGTACAAGATGACATGAACCAGATGTTCATATTGGGTTAGTACATGAGTTAGTACTGGACATGGTGTATTCCCCATGTGGGAAGATTTGAACCAGATATGTATACAAGAGAAACTGGTCACTGTATCTGTTGCTACCAAGTGCGATGTCCAGAGGCACATGTCTGTAGGAAGCTGACAGCGCTATTTCTGTTGAGCTTGCATTTATTTGTTACCTTCCTCCACGGGCCATGTATCCTGCAAACTGACCATGTTGATCATGTCTACATGCTGACCAGCACCAGTCCAGTGTTTGGCCACTTGACCACTACCCCATGTTGTGTACCTGTGAAATCGGTCAGTGTTCAGGTGAGTGGACACTGGAACACACAGGTAATTTACCTGTGCAGGAATAGAAGTGTCGCTGGCGTCAAACATTTACTGTGTCAGTTCGATTATTTCACCGTGTTATGTGCTTGCCTGTGATCAACATGTAATTCATTCAGTGCTGATGGTCATGGATGTGTCCTCGGCTAAGGTGGGTTGGTTTTGGGGTAATTCCTGCATAGAAACTTTCTCTGCTTGACAAACATTTATGAACATTTAACGTGACAAGTGCTTTGTTGACGTATTTGGCTAATTTTGTTGATCTTGATTCATTATTTCCCTCTGGGATTCTGGGGGAGGAAATGCCTTGAATAAATCTGGGGATATGGTGGAGTGAGTGAGTACGGTTTTACGCCGCTTTGTGCAATATACCAGCAATATCACAGAGGGGGACACCAGAAATGGGATTTACACGTTGTACCCATGCGGGGAATTGAACCCCGGCCTTTGGCATGACAAGCAAACTCTTGAACTACCCAACCGCCCCAGGATGTGGTGGAATATGGGGACATGGTGATCAGACTTTGCGACCTGGCTCATTGTGTGTCATTGTGCCCTGATGGTATGAGATGTAGATCATGCTGTCTGTCTACCATTGCCTTGTCTGGTCCTGACTTTTACAGGCCACAACGTGATGTATAGCCGGAATAATGCTGACTATTGCATAAAGCAATAGATACTCTCAAGAACTTGACATAAAACACAGGAGTCAATTTATTTAAGAAAACAGGACATGGTCCACATGCCTTATATTTTGTCGGTTGATACCAGGGATGGGATAGGTACCTTGGGTACATGGTTAGTCATGTGATATATTGTTTAATGCCAATAATCATCTACAACCCTACAGTTATACTAGGGGGCACGGGTGGCCCAGTCGTCTTAGGCGCCACGATTCGCTGTGCAGAGATGAATGTGGGTTCGAAACCCGATTCGCCCCAATTATGTTTTTAGGTTTTTCAGCACCATACCTATGCTCGTGGGTTTCACCGAAGTGGTAAACGTCTGGGAACACTTCGGGCTTTCCTCCCACATTAAGCTGACACGTGGTGATATAACTGGAATACTATTAAAAGCGACGTTAAACCCAACTCACTCACTCACTACAGTTACACTAATGTTCACATTTCTTGCTGACTATACACCCAATCCTTCTGACTTTTATGTATTTGAATAAAGATAAAACTTTCGTCAACTTCAGTGCATGCATGACCAAATCATTTTATACTTGTATCTCAAAACATTTTGCCAGGGATACCATCTAAAACTTATTCCCAATCGGACATTTTGTACCTATCTCTTGAGACCTACAGCAATCACCCGGGTAGGGTCTGGTAATAGGGGCCAGGGAACCGGGTAGTTAATTTGGACTCATCCCAGCTAGGTATATACAAAATGTGCATATTGGTAAATTTATTATGTTGTCAAACGCTGTCAAATATATTGCTGTTACTCCAATCTGTTTGGATTCTTTCTTATTTATAGGTTGACAAGGACACAGACTTTTTATCTTCTTGATTATTATTAATGCATACACTTCTTATTTTTAATCAGATTTAAACATTGAGGGACATTTTTCTTTTGACACTTATCCCCAGTATTTCATAACTGTTTTTATCTGTGGTAAATAATGCTATTCTGAAACAAGGTCACTACTTTGACAATACAAAAAATGTTCTGTCTTTGAAACCAGGTCAATAAGGTTGCTGGCTCCAATTTCAACATAGCTAATGATAATTATCATGTACTGAAGCCCTCTCATTGTCACCATGTTTGTCGGTCAGTGATGAATAGACTAGATCCAGCCGTGATAATGTAAAAATGTTGTGGAATGTTTGGCGTCTTGTTAATAACATGTTGCCTGGTCAGTCAGCTTGTTCACTAATAAAGACCACACGGTCTTCATTCAAGCCAGGAATTTAATATCGTAGATTGGTCAGGCATTTAGGGTTGAATGTCACCTGGACTTGCTTCAATCCCCATCATTACCAGTAGCCCGTCTCCTGGACTACTCCCTGATTTGGGGGAAGGAACTAGGCTTACAGTGATGGAGGGAACTCTCTAGCAAAAAAGGTTCATTATGATTTAAGATGGCTGCCCCCATTGTGACAACAGGAAGTGACCGGTCATGTGATATATTGCTGTGGAAGACAAAAGTCAGTGAGTTGGGTTTAACTGCGCTTTTAACTGTATTCCAATTAAATCACAGCATGTCAGCTTCATGTGGGAGGAAAGCCCAAAGTGATGCAGGTCTTAGACGTTTACCACAAGCACGGGGATAGTGCTGACAAACCTAGAAACATTATTTGGGCGAATCAGGATTCGAACCCACAATCATAGGTTTCTGGCGTGTCCAAGGGATACAACTCTGCACAGTTAATTGCAGCGCCTGATACGATGGGCCCCCCGTGCCCCCTAGAAGACAATTAATAATGACAAAAATGTGTACCACATTACAAAAGAATACTCTGAAGATTTTGGTTTGTGATCAGCATATTTTTTAGTTTTTAGGAGCTCAATATTTTTTTCCAACAAGAACAGACTATATACTTTGGATGTATTAATATGGTTGATTTGAAGGGCACTTTTTTCCCCTACATTTTGAGGCACATGAGATTTTTCCCAAGTTGAACAGCATAATTTAATTGAAAAAAAATCCCCACCCCCACCCACCTGAAAAAGCTCAATGGAGATACTTTTGGCACTTAATGATCTTTAATCTGTTGTATAAAGGGGAATCCCCTTGAATGGTGTGCTTTTGTGTTTGTGTTCACAGAGAGAATGATACTTTCTATTCAGAGTGGACACATGAATTCATTCAGCATAGGTAAATTAATCTGATATTTCATCAAAGAATTCACTCTTCTAAAGACAGGAAAAGACTGATTTTATAGCTGACTTACCTTATGTGTGACAGTAGCACACTTCGACACACCTGTGTCCTTTGTACTTGTATACAGCTGTGGTATTGTGAGAAAGGGCGTAGTCAGGTGTATCTGGGGAACAGGTGTTTTAAATAGTATTACCATTTCATCAGCGATCTTGGCTCTCAAATTTACAAAACAGTTTTTCAAGCTGAGGAAACTATTTGAGAACTTGATGGAATATATTAGTGATTTTATGGTTGCATCACCGATTTACTGATCCAGAATCATATTAACTTGAGATTTGTTTAAAAAATTATGTACCGTACATAATAATGAAAAAATCAATATGACAAAGGTTATCTGAAAAGTGCTCCATATATTACTGAATGCCTCCTTGGTCTAGTGAAAGGTCCAGGGTTCAATCCCTGGCTACGTCATACCAAAAGGCGTAAACAGGGACTGGTCGGTTTGGAGTCAGGACACTGTGTCTCAGTGGGTTATTCATGTTAAACTGCGGCATGGTATCTCAGTTGGTTAGCACTATAAACTCGGCATTAGTACATACATACATGCATGCACGTTGCTTTATAAGTGAAATAACCTTGAACGCGACGTTAAACCCCTGGTTTCGACTCACCTCACCATATGTTACTTTTAAAGTTTTATGGATTATTTGACGAAGCATATGAGGTACTTTTCTGGCTTAAGTTAAGTCCTACTAAAATCGCTGCTCATAGATAAGGTTGTACCAGATGCAACACATTGTGCTCCACATGTTTCATATGCGATAAATTGAGAACGGGTGCAAATGGTACTTGTTGTTACCCTGCCAGGCACTCGGCATTAGGTGGATAGAACAAGGACTGATCCACCCAGTTTGTATGCTGTGTCTGAGTTAGTAAGGGTTAAACTATTATGTTAAACTGTGGCATGGTATCTCAGTGGTCTAGCACTATAAATCGGGCAAAAGCTTGGACTAGTACAAACAGCCATACAAACAAACACATGTACATGCAAGTGTTGCCATCTGTACATATAACACCTGTAGGCCCTGTGAAGATCCGGGGTAGAATTAGTCTTCAGGAACTCATAATTGCCATGAAAGACGACTATGCTTGTCGTAAGAGGCGGCTAATGGGATTGGGCTCCCTGACGTGGTTGATGCATGTGATCGTATCCCAATTGCGTGGATCAATGCTCATGATGTCAGTCACTGGATAGTCTGGTCCAGACTTGATTATTTACAGACCGCTATCACATAGCTGGAATATTGCTGAGTGTGGCGTTAAACAAACAGACAAACAAACAAACACTATTATTATGATGTCTAACATGCTCTTTCTCATCTTCAGGGGCAACTATGAGTCGGTGTCCCGCCCGCCGTCGTACCCGGGCAAACTGAGTGTGGAATACCGTGCTGACGAGACAATACAGATACAGGATGATAGCGCCCTCTATCGCCAGTCTAAAAGCAGCCAATCACAAGCCAAAATGAGGCCGAGGCAGAGACGTGGGGAGAGTTTTAAGTAAGTTGTATAGTAATATTTTGCATATATCGTTAATCTTAATGTGTGAATGACTATCAAATGCCAGTTACAGCAAATTTCTAATCAGTTTCCATGATGTAAGGAATATATTTGCCATGTGCAGTCAAGTCTCGTTAATCTGACCCTCGTTAATCCGACAATCAGCTTTATCCGACACTAATGATGGGAACCGATTAAATCAGTACTATTTAGAGCTGTTAATCCGACAGTCTCGCAATCCGACTCAGACACACCTAATTTGCAACTAATTGCTGAAATCACTTATTAATCAGTCTCATTAGTCCGACACAGTGATCAGCATACTCCGTGGTCATCTGCCCGCAAGTACACAGCCCCATGTTTTAATGCGAGACGAGCCGGCGAGTAGCTGCATATTTCAACGTCTACAGAGATAAATATTTCCTTTTTCCTTTTTTTCATTACGTGTTTGAATCATGTTTGAATTGTTATCTATCGTTACCTATTGTGTAGTTGTCTGATTTTCGATCACAATCATTGATATTACCTAATTTTGTTTATCCAACATAATCATATGCAACTAACAATGTCGGATCCACGTGACTTGACTGTATACTTTTCGGGAGAAATGATACTCCTACCTTGAGTCTCTGAGAACATCGAGTGTCCTGTATAGTGTTGTTTTAGTCTTTGATACTCTAAATTGCATCACAGAATAAATTCTAGTTGTCAACAAAGGCAAACAAAATCAGTTAACAATTTGGTGTCAGCATGTGTGCTACTTTCACTCCATGCTCTATGGGCATTAATTTCATGTAGTTTGTGATTTGCATGAGAAATATGATATGTGTTGATTCAACTCAACATCAAATGAATATGTGGAGTTCACATCAAAGGTAGATAACTCCTGCCAGTCAGAGTGGCAGTGACAGCTACAACCAACTGGAAATGATGCGATTAAGAAATTGTTGTGTAACCTTTTGGATTATCTAAAACATGTATCCATGACTTTTCATGCTTCTGAGTTTGTACAAATCTCACACTTAGAGTGCAACACCATTAACGTCAATGCACTTTTATTGAATCACCATGTCTGATTTTTTTATTTGGGCTCATGGTAGTAAATATTTGTTAGAAAGCACTTACCATAAACAATGTCCTGAATAACAAGCAGTGTTGTTTACATTCCACAAAAGTATATGCTTCTTTCTTTGAGCCATGTGTGGCTTGTGCCTATGCACTTTTATCCATGTCTTTTTATCAGTGCACATTGACTTCAGCTGATGACAGTGTTTTATCATGCTTCTTTTTGATTGTTTTTTTAATGGTTATTTTCCACCTCATTCTGTTCTTGAATAATATTTCACATTGGTGGTAAAAGCAATTGTCAGTAAGGTCAAGGTCATCGGGAGGTGAAGTGAAGTGATAGTGGACTATTTGAAGTCATCTGTGTTAATGGGTTCTAGTAGCATCAGTTGTATCAAGTTGGTTGGTTGGTTTGTTGTTTTACGCCGCACTCAGCAATATTCCAGCTATATGAAGGCAGTCTGTAAATAATCGAGTCTGGACCAGACAATCCAGTGATTGATATCATGAGCATCAATCCACGCAATTTGAATCGATGACATGCATCAACCATGTCAGCGAGCCTGACCACCCGATCCCGTTAGTCGCCTTTTACGACAAGCATAGATGCCTTTTACGGCAAGCATGGGTTGCTGAAGACCTATTCTACCCCGGATCTTCACGGGTCAGTTGCATCAAGTAGATGCTGATGACCTGGGCCCACTTGCACAAAGCGATCTTAGCGCTAAGTTGATCTTAACTCCCATACTTTAGCATAGGCTTAGAATAGTCTTAGCGCTAAGATCGCTTTGTGCAAGTGGGCCCTGGTATTGGTGTTGTGTCACAGGGAATGTCATCTCTGTTGTGTCTTTCAATGTCATGGTAAGATTGAGAATGGAAAAATTCATTTGTGGGGAAACTGTTTACGTATATCATCATTGGAATGAAAAGTGATTTATCTTGTCTGTGTGTTCAGGTCACACAACAGCTTCCTGATCTCATGTTAATCAGCGTAGTCCTCAGAAAACAAGTCAGTCTGTGTCCTATCATGTATCTGGCGTGAGAAAAAACAGGTCCAGTTATCTTACCTCCATGACAGAATGTTAAGATCTGATTGGTGCATGTGATCTTGATAAAATACTACACATCCACCCATATACCCTGCCAAGAAGCAAACAACCTGCACGGGGATATCTGAGCATGACAATAACATGCACACCGATACCAAGCAAAAACCTCTACGCTGTTTACGAGTCAATCAAAGTCACATGACACAGCACATGTTAACCTCAGCTCAGTTGAACAGCTGTTTTCTATCTGTTTCCAATTTGTTTTCATTCATTTACAATAGTAGATACAGCTATCTTTTAAATTAATGGGTATTGGGGGATGATAAGGGCTACTGAGGGTGGATATGGAGCACTTTGTTGGCCTGGATGAGCTGGCATGTCACCCTTCGCAGGCTGTCATCACACCTAAAATCTTTCAGATTTTTTACAGACATCCTCTTCACTGCCGACTTATCTATGATTAGTTTCGAGGTAAACCCTATTGTCAGGTAAATGCATGTCACTGAATCATTTGGTCACATGTTTTCGGAAAGTCTAATCTTTGACTACCATATGCAAATTATTGTACATTTATTTGCTTTCATCTAGTCTGAAGTATGTTAAGCACCTTCTCCCTTTATGTTATAAGCTGGAGATATGCTTGGAACCACTATGAAGTCTGCATAGCAGTAAATCGTATGGTTATAATTCGGGGAAACTGAATATGAATATCTCGTCTTGTTTGTTTGTTTGTTGTTTAACACCGCACTCAGTAATATTCAAGCTATAATACAGCGGTCTGTAAATAATTGAGTCTGGACCAGACAATCCAGTGATTGACATCATGAGCATTGATTTACGCGAATGGGATACAATGACAAGCATCAACCAAGTCAGAGAGCCTGACCACCCGATCCTGTTAGTCGCCTCCTACGACAAGCATAGTCGCCATTTATGGCGTCTTGTACTAGTATTGTATCTATACACTAAGTATGGGAATTTGGTATGGTACAAATGCCTGTGGCTTGAGACAGTGATAGTGTCAAGAAGGTTGTTGACCTTTGGTTCATGAGAACAAGATAATGTAAAGTGGTAGTATATGTTGTATGACAGATGGTGCATCATTGAGCTGGCATTTGTGTACATGACAGCTTGTTCTTCCTGGTAGCCATTCTAGGGCTGATTGTATCGCAGGCTCTTCCTCCCCTGGTCCAGCGAACCATACCAAAGGTCATCAAGTGAACTGCGAAACAAAGCCGTTAAATAATGACAATATTTTTCAGTGGATATGGAGATATGAATCTTATTGATGTCGGATGATGTTCAAAAATATTCTGCATGTTCATCTGGTGTCAAATCTGTGAAAACGAAAGATAACATTATGTGAGTGTGTTTGTCAGCTGGGGCTGTCCGCCTTGTTGAGTCATCATACGCAGTAAGTGAATAGAGACTGATGGATGCGGACTCTGCTTGATGCCGCCAGGGTGAACCTGATGACCCTCATGACAGCTGTATGCCAGGTCATTAGATGTATATATTTTCCAAAATATCAACCATGTGTTTCTGCTTAAAGGTTTACATTTTAGTTCTAATTAATGGAGATTTTTTGTGAATGATGATTGGGAATAGCTTAAGCTTTGAACCTATTACCAGTGATAGAGCATATTTCATACGCCACTCGTGAAAATATTGTCTTTTCCCAAGTCTCTCGATGAGAGAAATATGAGATTTCACTCGACACATGGAATATCCTGTTTAATATATACTTAATGTTTTGTTGGCTTCCGGAAAATTACGTGTTTTTTTCATTCCAAATGTAAAACCTTGAAACGTAGATTCTTTCTACTCAACATGCAGGGATGTTTCACCACCCCTTGTAATTGCGACTTAAAAAGTACAGTGGTCCCTCGCTACAACGCTACCAATGGGGTCCAAATAATTGGTGGGCGTTATAGACGATGAGCCGTTTAACCGAGGCCGAGGCGGGGGAGCGCGCTCGGCAAATCTCAAATCATCAATATGTGTTTATCTCACGTCACGTCAAAATAGTATATATTTTTATGGACCTAGATCTACCTGGAATATCATTCATTTATTAAATCTGTCACATTTCACAATGTCTGAAATACGTATTCCATTTCAATTTATAATTTCCAATTTTAATTGTAGTTCCAAATTTGCAAAGACTTAAAAATATAAACAAAAGTAATAAAAAATAGCTTCGAGAACGCTGTTGGAAGCAAAGGAAGACTTGCTGGTCAAGTAACAAAAATGGTGCCTTGCGAAAGTAACAGTCTTGATTGACGATTTACATGAGAAATTTACAGTTTATAACAAAACATTTACAAGAGAATAGCAAACACACAGACATGATATTAACTCCATAAATGACCATCTGTCATTATTTTGCTTTGTCAATGTGGAACATTCTGTGTCAAGAATGTTTCTTAAAAATAGGACAGAAATAAAGTTATTTAAAACAAAAGTTTGTGTGTATGTCTTGGTGAGGTAGTAGGATCATTGCCAGCTCAATGAAGTGTTTCCTGAAACACATATGCCACCATTCCACTGCAGAGTGTTTAGAGTTACCCGCTCTTGTCTTGTATTGAGACCAAACACACTGTGTACAATTTTTTATGGTAAAAAATCCTTTTGTTATTGCCTCAGTCTGAGAAATAATTCACTGTGGAGACATACATGCATTGCATCCAATAATTAACATGAACATGTGTGTTTACTATAAATAGTTAGCTTTGTGAGCACATTACTCTACATGCTTTTCCATGTGACAATAAGTGGTGTTTACAAATTTGTTAACAGCAAATGACAGCATCAATATTTCTGATACTATCATGATTTGTGTTTTGTCAACAAAACATGTTTATTAATGAAGAATGTTCCTGAAAT